TTTATGCAGAAATATAGAAAATTCTAAAGGGTTCACAAACTTTCAAGCAGCACTATATATATATATATATATATATACACAATTATTTATTTATTTTGCCTACATAGTATCAATTTAATCAAAGATTAAAAGCTAGGCTTATTAACAGCCTAGGACAGTACAGCGCAGGATTTGATTTTGTGTGAGTAGTCTGTGTCCACTAGATGTCAGTGAAGACCAGAGGAGATGTGAGTGAGCGTCAGGAGCGGGAGCTTTGGAGTTCAGTGCCAGGAGCTTCCCCTGAGACTGCTGAGAGAAACAGTCCAGGCTCCTGACCAAAAAAACCAAACATCCTCAGCCTCAAAAGCATGTCGCCTAGCCAGCTGGCAGACTGCCCTTCCTAGGACTGCTGTTCCCACAGGGAGGGAGGCGTGTTTGTGTGTGTGAGACTCAGACGTGTACATGTGGGTACTGACACCTGAGGCACTTGTTCACATGTTGTTCAACACGAATCACTTCAACTGTTCAGTCGACAAACTAGGAAAAAAACCTTTGTTATATGTTTCCTCTCATAATCTGAAGGTAAATCTTACCCCTGAAGCATTGCGAATACAATGGGGAATGACATATAACACTTTTTTTTTTGTGAGTAAACTGTTGCTGACTTGGGAAAAACTGCCTGAGAATGTGTGAGAACTCACTGAAACGACTCGCATGTCGAGCAACATTAAGAGCAGCTGCCAAACTGCACATTTTTGGGGATTGTTACATGGGGAAAAAAATCTTTTTCATTTTACACACATTTGTTTGAGGTCATCTAGCAAGTCCTGCTGTAACTTCTCAGCCTGAGAGACAGAGCTAGGCATTCTGAAGTCATGGGAAGAGTTTTTTTCGGTTACAAACGGGTGATAATTGTTATTAAAATCCACCAGGCAGAAGGATTATGTAATATTAGACGTGTTAGAGTCTCCTAAGCATGTTGAAGCCTGTTAAGCAGATCTGTGTTGGGAATCAGATTTTCCATGCATTTTACAATCATAACAATGCTTCGGTTCTTTTGTGCAGGGTGTGGAAGTGTCGAGTTTAGACAGCGCCACCAGGTGTACAACAATGAGCCTGGAAGGACAATCAAAAGGTAGATTTCAAACATCATTCGACCCTTGGATACTCTTTTAGTAAACATTGTGTGCTAATGCAAGCATGATTATTACTGACTCATTCCTAGCAATCATTATTAGAACTTCTTACCATAAGTATTTGAGTGAATGTGAACTTTAAAATGGGATACACATATATTGGTACCATGTACTGGTTAGTGGTCATTTTTCAAGTATTTATTTATTTATTTTCATTTAT